AAGTGTCGCTGTGGAATGATTCTGCAAGCCGGTCCCTTCCCATCCACCTCCAGGCGAGTCAGGGGCATGAAGGCTGGAGCCTGGCCCCCGGGGTCGGTGCGGTGGTGTCTGTAAGGAGCTGTGATGAGTGTTCACATCAAGGCCTTCACTGATTACTGCTGTCCTGGCTCCGCTATGAGAGAGCCACTTGCATGGTCGTGCATGCTCGATTTGTCAGGAGAGATCTCGTTTTGCTAACTCCCCGACCTCCACACCATCCATCCTGCACAGCGCGCCCTTGACTTTGACCAGATGATTTACTAAATGCTTCTCCTCAGTGTGCTGCTCTGCTCTCTGTGATGAAACACTTCTATTTGTGTTCCCCAGGCCCTGTGAGCACATTCTAAAGGACTCTGCAGGTAATTTGCAATGCACAGTATGCTTGGCTGGAGTTCGGAGCAAAATAACTAATCAACAGCACGTGAAGTATATTAATAACAGTTTATACAGTAATACAGTTGGGGGCGGCTGTGGCTCAGAGGCAGAGCAGGTCATCCCCCAATCAGAAGGTTGAAGCTAATATATCTATAATATCATGAACTGGTTACAAGGAGTATATTAAAACAATGAAATCATCTGATATTAAATTATATCAATCGCTTAAAGTTATGATATATTAGAAGGGAATGCGATATAGTTTAAAAGTGAACAGGGAAGTAGCAACATCTACAGGGTCGCTGCCTGATATTTCAGATAACAATATCACGTCGCTCTCAATACACATAAGAAACCAGTCCAAAACACAAAAACAACTAACCTACACTAAAAAAACTAAAACAAAAAAAAAACACACAAAAAAAAACACACACAAAAAAAAAAACAACCCAAAAATACAACATACAAACCAATAACCCAAAAACTCAACAAACACCCTCAAACATCAACACAACTCCAGACCAGTAAAAAACGTCCTGTCGTCACTATCTCCACCTCCCTCTTTGCCCTTTTGGAATTAGGGGACCCGGTGGAAGTCAGGAAACTGCCAAGAAAAATGGCTGAACAAGGCCAGACAAAACCACACTAGAGCTTAACAAAGCTCGTTCAGAAAAACCTATGGGGGATCACAGAGAACTATTCCATTTAACCCTATAAAGTACTATGATTACACCGCGACATCCAGGATACTTTCGAACTGTACCTTTCATTTATCTGGCTCATGGGACAAGTATGTGACATCTGACATGACATCTTGAGGGTGTCAACTTGCTTCCTGAGATAAATAATTTACTGGGTAATGGTCCACCATCTGTATAGGCATTTGTCATTTTCTAGAAAGCTTGTTTTTTTTGTGTGGAATGGTTTTTTTTTGTGTGTTTTTTTATTCGTTTACGTTTTTTCAATTAGTTCAGTTGCAAACATATATACACTGTTGATGTTTTACTGGCATGGTTCTTTATTTTCTGTTTCTGCAGGTGATATTAATATGTACGCGCTCGCCTACAGTTTTATAATTTGGTACTCTTCTCTCTCTCGCCGCTCGCTCTGGTTTCACCACTACTGCTCTTTTTTTTTTATTTTTACCTTCTTCTCTTAAAAATAAATTTACGCTAAGGTGCGGACTGGTCCTTATGCCATTTAACAGTTTTCTAAAACTGCTCACCTGTTGTTATTTATTTGAAGATGCAGTTGTTTCTGTGCACCAAAGAAATTTTACGATCCATGAAATGAAAATTTGTAAATACATCAGCAGAATGGCACACGAATTATTAAATGGTAAATGAGCTTTCTAGTCTTCTCCGACCACTCAAAGCGCTCTTTACATTACGTCGCCACATTCACCTTCCTCACAACTTCACTCGTGATGGCAGTCCATCGAACAGAATATAACTCATATCATACACATTACCGCACGCTGCTATGCATAGGGGAAGCATTTGGGGTTCAGTATCTTGCTTCAAGGATACTTCGATACGTGGCGGAAGGAGCCGGGATCAAACCAAGGTTTTCAGATGAATTTTACATTGCCTGCTGCATTTGCTGTCAGGACACAGACTGCGTTCTGTATATTCAGTTTCTGCCAGGGCTTTTTGCGTCCTCTTTGCTATTCAGTACAGGTCCGTGTCTGTGGCAGACGTCTATACCTCCAGAGCTCGCGCTGAAATTAAATTTCAACTTACAACACAGTTTGAAAAGCTGTGGAATTTCAGGAAATTCAATATTGACGTCAATCGTTTCACAACGCCATGGGAGAGAGAGAGAGATCACAGAAAAGACACTGAGACCCACAGTTCCAACTCTATCTACAGTAACAGTTTATGCCCTGCCTGGGTGCAGGATAGAGCGCGAGAGATCTGCAAGCCGTCCCGCGGCAGCCAGCGCGCCAGGCGAGCGAGGGCGGGATGAATCGAGCCTGGCCCCCCGGTCGTGCCGTGGTTCGTAAGAAGCTGTGATGAGTGTTCACATCTAGAGGCCGTTCCACTGATTTACTGCGTCCTGGCTCCGCTATGCAGAGATCACTTGCGGATGTCGTCATCTCGATGTGCAGGAGAGATCTCGTTTTCTAACTCCCGACCTCCACACCATCCAAAACCTGCACAGCCCCCCTGACTTTGACCAAGATAGTACTAAATGCTTCCCTCGAGTGCGCGCGCCTCGAGAAAAGCGAGCGTCTATTTGTGTTCCCCAGCCCTGTGAGCACGAGTCTAAAGACTCTGCAGTGAAGGGTTGCAGAGCGAGCGAGATGCTTGGCGGAGTTCGGAGCAAAAGGGTTAACTAATCAACAGCACGGAATGAGTATAATAAGCAGTGTATACAGTGGGAATACATTTGGGGCGGCTGTGGCTCAGAGGAGAGCAGCTATCCCAATCAGA